GCCTCTATAAAAGATAAAGTATGTTAAAGGATGTATCTAATTATAACTATAACTAATTATAGAGATCGTATTCAGTACAATCTAAGATAGTGTAGAAAATGTTAAGTATCTTGAACTACTGCCCTCCTTATGACTTTTAAGAATATAGATCTTGGGGCTGGAGAGATGGCTCCGCAGTTAAGAGCACAGACTGCTCTTACAGAGGATCTGACACCTTCTTCTGACCTCCTCGGGCATTGCGTGACACGGGTGCACTTACACACATACAGGCAATATACTCATACACATAAAATTAAAATTAAAATAAATCTTTAAAAATAAAAAAAGAATGTAGATCTTAGGGCTGGAGAGATGGTTCAATGGTTGAGGATTAAGAGCACTCCAAGACCTAGGTTCAGTTCCTAGCACCAACATGGTGGCCAACACCCATCCATAACCCCAGCTCCAGGGGATCTGATGCCTCCTTCTGGTCTCTTTAGGCATTGTACAACATGGGTGTACTTAGATACATATGGGCAATACTCTCAAACACATAAAGTGTAAATAAATAAATAAAATTTAAAAAGAGTATAGGTCTTAATACATCTTGTTTTCAACCTAAATAGGACTGTCAAAGCATTTATTTTCTAGCTTTTGAAAATTTGCTTCAAGAGCTGGGCATGATGACATACTTGTAATCCCAGCACTTGGGAGGTGAGGCAGGAGGACTGCAAGTTCTGAGTGAACCTATGTATATCAAGAAACCATATCTCAGAAACCAAAACAAACAAAAAACCACATAGGGCTGGTGAGATGGCTCAACAGGTAAAGATGCTTGCTGTGCAAGGCTACCTGAGTTCACGGAGCTGTCCTCTGACTGTGCATGCGATGCTGTGGCATGTGTGCATCCACACTTCATCACACACACACACACCACACAAAAGAAATAAATTTAAACAAAAAGTGCTGGGCATGGTGGCGCAGGCCTTTAATCCTAGCACTCAAGAAGCAGAGGTGGGGGATCTCTCTGAGATCCAGGTCAGTCTGGTCTGCATATAAGTTCCAGGCCAGCTGGGGCTACAGGGAGACCCTGTCTCAAAAAACAAACCAAAGTAAAAAGAAAAAAAAAAGAAAGAAAATTTGATTGAAGGAACAATCATCAGGTAAATGCAAAAATTTGACATCCTTTTTCCTAATACCATCAAATAAAACTTCTAAGTTTAATTCTGTAGCATTATTTTGTCCTGACTCTGGCTTCACTTTCTCAGGTATGTGCGAGAGGTGAAATAATCAGGGTGAAAGTTCTGGGCATATTGGCTATGATTGATGAAGGTGAAACTGACTGGAAAGTCATTGCCATTAATGTGGATGATCCTGATGCAGCCAATTATAATGGTAAGGAAACCTGAAGAAGGCAAAGTCTTCCTAATTAAATTAAACTTCACCTGTGCTGATGGACTTGCAAGCTCATGCCTTCAAACTGTTGAGGGTTGGAGGAGTGAAGAGCTTCACTATGACATTGCTGTTTCTACAACTGGACTGCTTACCTAGACTTTCCTTCATTCCAGTAAAGAAAAAAAATCCCACCAGCAGTATTGAATCTTTCCTTCTCATGTGCTAGCACTTCATTATTGGGTTTTTGTTTTTGGCTTTTTTTTTGAGACAGGGTCTCACTATATAGCCTAGGCTGGCCTGAAACATACAGAGATCTGCCTGCCTCTGCTTCCTGAGTGCTAGGATCTAAGGTGTGTGCCACTACACCCACCTTTTTTTTTTTTTTAATGTTTGAAATTCATATGCCCTAAGAGTCACCATTTTAAAGTACGTTATTCAGTAGGGTTTGGTTTGGTTTGGTATTGTGGGGGGTTGTGTGTGTGTGTGTGTGTGTGTGTGTGCGTGTGCGTGCGTGTACGTACATACATATAGTACATGTGTGTATGCAGGCACATGTGCAGGTGTAAGCTAGAGGTTGTCCTTGGATCATTCTTTAGGAGCTGTGTACCTTGTTTTCTGAGACAGAGCTGGAACCTAGAGCTCACTAATTCCTCCAGGCTGGCTGGCCAATAGGCTCCAATGATCTTCGTATCTCTACCTTCCCTGTGTTGAGATTACAAGCACCTGCCACCATGCCTGTCTTTGTACATGAGTGCTGGGGGATAGATCTCAAGTTCTCATGTTTGCTTGGCAAACAGTTTATCTACTGTGCTATCTCCTCAGCCCCTGGTTGTTGTTTTTTTGTTTGTTTGGTTGGTTTTGTATTTGGGTGGATGGGTGTGTAAAAAAGGTCTCTTCACACCTGTAGTCCCAGCACTTGGGAGGCAGAGGCAGGCCAGATCTCTGTGAGTTCAAGGCCAGCCTGGCCTACATAGTGAGTTCCAGGCCAACTGGGGCTACAGAGAGACCCTGTTTCAAAAAGACCAAAAAAAAAAAAAAAAAAAAAAAGTCTCTTGTAGATTGAACTGTATAGGCAAAGATGGCTTTGAACTCCTGACCTGTCTGCCTATGCCTGGTGTTAAAATGAAGGCGGCTGTTGGGTGTACACCTGTAATCCCAGGACTTTGGAGACAGAGACAGGAGGCTCAGGAGTTCAAGGCCCTTTGCAGCTACATAGAATAGTTAGTTTGAAGCCATAATGGGCTGCATGACTGGAACCAAATGTCCTTTTCTCCTGTCCCTCACCTCACCCAAGAAGGGTGTTAGCATGTATCCTGCTCAGGTCAGCAGGGTATGGTCTTTGCAGCCTGCCCAGGTGCTGGGATTATAGGTGTACATTGCCACCCTTGACCAACTCAGTGTTTTTTAATCTACTTAACTATATTGTGCAGCCATCACCATTGATTTTAGCTCTTTTTCATTACTCCAAAGGAAAATCTCATATCCATTGGCAGTCATTCCCTGTCCCCTTCCACACAGTTCCTGACACCATTAATCTTTCTGTCCGTACAGATTTGCCCGTCTGAACATTTCTATGTTTTATTGTTTTATTTTGTGCCTCATTGCATGCTGAGGTGCCTATGTGGAGGTCAGAGGACAACTTGGGGTTCTCTCCTTTCACCATGTGATCCCAGTAATTGAATTCAGATTGTGAGGCTTGACAGAAGGCACCTTTACCTGCTGAGCCATCTTGTTGACCCCCCTATTCTGAACTTAAGAATGGAATTGTGTTATAGGTGACCTTTGTGTCTGGCTTTTTCCCCCCCTTGGTTTTTAGAGATAGGGTTTCACTCCATAGCACAGGTGACCTCATATTCAGTAGCAATCCTGCCTCAGTTGCTGGGATTATAGGCAAGAGCCACCACATCTGGTGAGCATGTTTTCAAGGTTCATCTTCACTGTGATGCATTCAGCACGTCATTCCCTTTTGTGGTGGTAAAATACACGTAAAGTGTACAATTTAGTGATGTTTAATGCAGTCACAAAATTGTACAATCACCAGTTCAGTTCACTCCCTGTGCCCTTGTTCTCCAGGCCCTGGCAATCACTAGTCTGCCTTTGTCTGAATAGATTTGTCTACTGTACATGAACTTGAATAATGTGGATTCTTTAGTGTCAAGTTGCTTTTTAGCATATCTTTTTTCCTAGGCTCATCTGTGGTGTAGTCTGTACCAGTATTCTATTCTGGATGGGCCATATATTATTTATCTGTCAACAGGTTTAGGCATTTGGGTTATTTAACTGTTACGAATAGTGTAGCTATGACTGATTATTCCTGTGCAGGTTTTTGTGTGGACATGTTTTTAATTCCCTTGGAAATATTCATTGGAGTAGAGTTGCTAAGTTGATGGTAGTTGTCCACCCTTCTAAGGAACTGTCAGGCTCTTTTCTAAGTTTGAATTTCATGTCAGTAGTACCTGAGAATTTCACATCAGTATTACGTGAAGATACTAATTGCCTCACATCCTCACTAGCATTTGTTACCCTTTTGACTTTAGCCATCCTAGTTGGGGATATCTTTATTGTTGAGTTGTATTTTATATAATGTGGACAGTAGACTTTATTCAGATGTACTTTAGCTGTATTTTCTCCCATTCTATACATCAGCCTGTCTGTTTCCTTGTTTGTTTGTTTGTTTGTTTGTTACAGGGTCTCATGTAGCCCATAGTAGTCTCAAGCTGGCTATATAGCCAAGGTTTTCCTTGCCCTTTCCAGCTTCTACAGGCCATCTGCAATCCTTGATTCATGTTCCATGTCAATCTTCAAAGCCAGCACTGGCACATTGGGACCTTATATCCCTCTAGGCTTGCTTTCCTTGTCAAAATCCCTTCCCTAACTCTGATTCGCCCCCATTTCACATCATAAGTATCTTGGGCCTATCCTGATAGCCCAGGCTAAGAGCAGATGATGAGCAGACTTAATTTTATCTGCAACCTTTGTACCCTGATGTAATCATACACCTGTGAATTGAGAGGTGGACATATATCACTTCTCAACTTTTTGGCTAAGATCAAGTGAAAAGATGGACATATTTGGGGCAGTATTTGGTCTATCATAAGCCATAAAACTATTGAATGTAACATAGTGGTGGATAATGATACTACACATTTTTCCAAAACCATAGAACTTTGGCAGAGTAATGCCCCCTCGGAAGATGTCTGCTTCTTACCTCTGAATCCTGAGATACTACCTCACAAGGCCAGTGAACTTTGAGACAAGAGTAAAGTCAGGCTTGAGATGGGGAGAATATCCTGGAAGATCAAGGTGGACCCAGCCTAATCACCTGAATCCTTGAAAGAGAGACCTTTCCTAGCTGTGGTCAGAGGGAGATAAGAGGGCAAGAGAAGGATCAGATAGGTACCACATTGCTGGCTTTAAGGATGTCAGGATTGGACTGTGGATATATCTCAGTTGGTCGAGTGCTTGCTTAGCATGGATGAAGCCTTGGGTTTGATTCCCCAATACTACATAAATCAGATGTGATGGCATGTGTCTGTAATCCTAGCCCTTGGGAAGTAGAGGAAGGAGCTTCATGAGTTCAAGGTAATACTCAACTATATGGTGAGTTATAGGCTAACCTGGTGCCCTCCTTTCCCTCTGCCTTCCTCCCTCTCCCCTTCCTCCCTCCGCTCCTGCCCACACACACATGCACGCACCCACACAATGTTGGGAGTGAGGAGGTCACCCAAGAGAAAGAACCTGGGTAGCCTATGAATACTGACAAATGCAAGGAAATATTCTCCCTCAGAGTCTTCAGAAGGGAGCACAGTCCTGCTGATCCCTGAGTTTAGGCTAGTGAGACTGGAGCTTCTGACCTACCAAGTTGTAAGATAGTAAAATGGTAATTTTTTTCTGTTTGTTGGATTTATAATTTTTATTTTATGTGTGTGCCTGCATGTGTGTAAGTGTACCACGTGTGTGCAGTCTCTGTGGAGGCCAGAAGAGGGTGTTGGATTCCCTGGAACTGGAGTTACGGACTATGGTTAGCCAGTCTGGGTCCTCTGAAGAGAGGACAACCAGTGCTCTTAACCACTCAGCCATCTCTCCAGCCCCCCGGTGGTGTTTCAAGCTGCTATATTTGAAATAATTTATTATTACATGGCAGCAGTAGATAAGTAACACAGCACAAGAGTGAATTCTGTTATTTTAAAAGATCATTTATAAGGCCAACTCCAGGATGAAATGTAAAGTAGCAGAAGAATGTAGCTTTACTAGAGATGTGTGAAATAACTTCACTGGGGGTTGAGGGGGAAAGGTGCAGACCTTGGTGACTTTAGAGCGAGGTCAGACAAAAGGCAGAAAGAACCACACACAGCATAGATGATAAAGTTCTTAGTGGAGCACAGGCTAACAGTGCTTAGGCTACTGTCCATGTGTACTGGCTCTAAACAGTTCAAGAAGTGGATGGAAGATCCTGAGAGCCAGGCTTCTCCTCACTTGAGAGGGAGGTATAGATTTGCAAGGAAAGGTGGCCAGAGTTACCCTTGTGGTGGTGGGTTGTTGTTGAGGATAGTGTGAATTCGTGTTTACCATAGCAAAGACACAGGTGGATACATAGAGAAACAGTTTAAGGCATGCATAGGGATTGGGCTGCACACATATCTTTGCTGAGGGGATTCAGCAGCATAGTGAAGCACACCTTTAATCCCAGCACTCAGGAGACAGGGGGATCTCTGTGAGTCCAGGCCAGTCTGGTCTATATTGTGAGTTCTAAGCCAGTCAAGGCTATATAATGAATCTGTCTCAGGAAAGGAGAAGACAAGACAAAGGGGGGAGGGGGGGAAGAAGAGGGCTGGAGAGATGTCAGCAGTTAAGAACACTGTTCTTGCAGAAGACCCAGGATCAAATCCTAGCACCCACATTATAGCTAACAATTGTCCATAACTCCAGTTCCAGGGGATCTGACAGCCTCTTCTGTCCTCTGTGGGGATTGCACGACACGGGTGCACTTATCTACATGCAGGCAATACACATGTACACATAAAATTAAAAAAATAATAAAATATTTTTTGAAAAAAGAAGAAGAAAAGAAAACAAGATCATCTCGGTAGAGATGAGCACCCTAGCACTCAAATCTTGGGGTCTTATACCATTCTATAGTGAGACGTCAAGGCTCCTTGGAAAAACGACTTATTCCAAGTCTACAGCAACAAATGACAAGATAAACCTAGACCACCTTGTACCAGGAAGAAGCAAAGTGGTTATAAAAAGCACTGAAGAACACTCATCAAAGAGACACACTGACGTTTTGGATTGTGACCCAGAGCAGAGGATACACGCCTATGATTCCACACTGAAATAAATGAATAGTTAAACGAATGTGGGAGGAAGAAACACATGTCTGAGGCAAAATTCCAGAATAATTTATGTAGCTAGTTTACTCTCAAGGGGGTGGAACCTTATTGTAGGTTTTGAATGCTCAGAGTATAGAATAGGGGGACAGCTTTATAGCAAGGAAGCACTGCCTCTGCCAGGTGATAAAGGTCAGCAGTAGAGATGGGTTTTCTTGAGAACATAGACCCTTGAAATGGTGCAGTGTATTTTCATGTGTGTGGAATTTCATCCAAGGGGCCAGAAGAACACCAGTCTTTTAACTGCTGGGAAGGCAGCATTCAAAGCTTTAGCTTTGAATGGTAAGAGTGTATTCAGGCCACCTGAGGTGCAGTTCTGACTCTGTTGATCAGTGTCTTTTCACGTCAATTGCTTAGCATAATTGAACACATACTCTGGTGTAAAGCTGAGCCATTCACTGTGTCAGCACTAATGTGCTAGGGTTTGCTTCCCTGCAGTAGAGATGCAGAATCCAGTGCCATGGTGCTTATAATAAGCCATTTTCATTAAATGTTAACCCAAGGCAGTGTCTTTCTATCTGCTATATGGCTTGCTCCATTCATCCCTTCCTTTTGCTATTCCTGAGTGGCATCTTTTGTAATAAACCTATAAGCTTAAGTAATGGTGTTTTCCTGAGTTTTGTGAACTGTTCTAGAGAGGATGGTGGGAAACCCGCCCCCCTCAAATTTATAGTTAGTGGGTCAGAAGTACAGGAAGCCCAGGACTTGGAACTGGTGGCTGCAGTGGGGACAGTTTTATGAGGTGAGTAGGGGGTGGTGGTGGTGAGGGGGTGTTAACTTATAAGATCTGACACCACCACAATCTGAGAGTTGAATTGTTGATACCTGTTGGTTGTTGGTATTAGAA